TCACCATAGACTTTGCATGTAAACCTGATGCTCCTGATGCTGAAATCGCGTTCGGTGTGAACGCACCATAACTCTTTTTCATCTTTCTTCGACAAAGACTGAGCATTACCTCCAGCTACTACCACCAGCTTATCTCTCAAACTGACAGAGTGAAGGCAGTGAGCTGTCACCTCTCAGCGAGAAGGTTGCAGAACCGCCTCCCAACTTGGGTCCTTTATGTGTGGAGCTTGCATGTTCATCCCATGCARGAATGGGTTTTCTTTGGGTACTCCGGTTTCCTCCCACAGTCCAAAAACATGCATATTAGTTATTCAGTGACTGAACTGTCCCGAGGTGTGAGTGAGAGTATAAATGGTTGTTTGACTCTTTGTGGTCCTGTGATGGACTTGGTCAGGTGTATACTTGGTTTGGCACATACCGCTAGAGGTAGGCTCCTCGTGACCCAGAAAGGAGAAGCAGGTGTAACTAATACATGGATGGGATTATCTGTGGTGGCCAATCCTGAATAGGATTAACTATGAAAAACTCATCAGTTGTAGATGTGCCTTCTGTGATTCTGAAAGTTTCATAAAGATATGTCTACTGATTCATGAGACGTTTTGACAGACAGGTGGGCAAAAACACACACACAAACAGGTTTGTATTTCTATACTTATTAGGACCGTTCACTGACTTCCATTCATTTCCAGTAATTTTTACAGCCTAACCCTGACCACAAACCCTAACCCTAACCTCACATGTACGAAACTGACCCACAAACTAAGCTAAACTCAATTCACACCTTGGTCCTAAACCCAACCCCCCATTCTTAAGTGTAGTTCCACCATATTAGGACCAGTCTTTGGTCCCCATTAGGACTACTGGTCTTGACAACGTAGGTGTGTATACCAGAAATAATAGGCAACAAAAACAAGTGTACACACACACACACAGTACAGCTATCTTTATGGGGACCTGGCATTGACTTGCATTATTTTCTACAGCCTACTAGAAACTAACCACCATAGGCCCCTAACCACCAACTCTAACCCTAACCTCACAGGTGACCTAAAACTAACCTAAACCTTGCTCCTAAACCTAACCCCACACCCGTAATTTGCATTTGGACCCGTGGGGACTGGACATTGGTCCCCACGATGCACTTCAGTCCCCACAAGGCTGATTTTTTTTGGGAAATTTTTCCCCACGTTGTATCTGTGAAACAGATTCACAAATCTGTGAAAAACCCGTATACACGCACACACACACGCGCGCGCACACACACACACACACACACAGACATTGGTAAAAACTTTAATGCCTTGTCACTTTTGACAGCTGGCAATAACGATTTCACAATATATATTTTGCAATTTCTGCATACGTTTAATTCTATTTAGTGCACTAACTTTTAAATGTTTTAAATCACTCATAAGTCGTCTGAAATTGCGTTTTCTCTTTTTTTCACAAGGACTGGAGCTTCAGAGACATCGTGCCTCCTGTGCAGACCTACTCTGAGAAACAGAAAGAGTACTTCTCCACTCGTCCGGCTCAGCGTTTGGCTCTGCTCAGGACGTGGGGCTTCCTGCCAAGTGAAGACGATTCCAACAGAACTCAGAACAAGTCAGGTGACAGAGGAGAGGAGCTCTGATGTGGAAGTGCTACATTATCTTTTTTTTTTATCTATTTCAAGCCTCTTCTACTTGAATAACCTCTTTTTTGTTTTGGAATCCTGTTTATTTGACTGCAAACAGAGATAGAAACTTGTAGTTTGAGCATGTACAGTTCTGGTGAAAATCATTAAAGTTCTATCGATTATCTTCTGGAGAGGGGGTGTGGAGGCAGCAGGTTGAACAGGGAGGCCCAGCTGCTGTTTTTTCATTACATATAATAATTTAAAAATATTTTAATTGCCCTAAATAATGTTTATTTTATCTGCTGAAGAGCCCATTTGAATACAACTACTGGAAAATACTTGAGATATACCCATGTTTAAAGTTTTTTGATTGACATCCCTAATATTTTTTTGTTGTTGTTAGATTTTAGATAAAATTATTGTTGAATTTGTGTTGTCTTAAAACAGATTATTAAAGTATTTAACTTCTGTTTTTTGGAGAAAAAGTCACAAAGTGTAAATGAGGGAGTAGGAAATGCCACATACTGCATGACAATGACACGACAACTGAATATCATTGTTGATGAATAACACTTTTTTCCATATATTTTTGTAAGCATTTGAGAGTAAAGATTGATAATAAAAACTACCTAAATTTATTTGCTTTATTTGACCATGTTTATGTCTAAATACACAAAATAACAGAATGTAGTTACTCGCCTGGTTTCTCAGTCTCCATCTTCTTCCACTTCTCCATAGTTGGGTCATGAAGGCAGCAGGTCCAGGAGACCAGGCTTATGATGGCAGATATGGCACATTCAGAGCGCTCAGAAACTGTCAGCTTTCCTGTAACGTGAGGTTGTTTCTCCACCCGCTTCGGATGTTATCATCCATGAAATGGATGTTAATAGGCCATTATCTGTCCCCTAAAATGGCTTCAGAATGTCCTGCCTGTGCTGGTTAGCAGGTTCCCCGTCCCATAGAATGGCTTCTGATTGTCAGCTGGTTAGTATGAGGCATAAAACCACTATCTGGTTAATATGAGGCATAAAACCACTATCTGGTTAGTATGAGGCATAAAACCACTATCTGGTTAATATGAGGCATAAAACCACTATCTGGTTAACATGAGGCATAAAACCACTATCTGGTTAATATGACGCAATAAATGCACTATCTGCTTAATATTAGGCATAAAAGCACTATCTGGTTAAAATGAGGCATAAAAAACTGGTTAACATGAGGCAAAAAGCCACTAAGGTTAACAGAGAAAATGTCATGGTTAGTGCTAAAGAAACTGCAAAAGACACCGCCCTCCAAAGGATGTATGATGTGGTCTTCTATTTGGGCAGTGGGTAGAGTGTCAGACCACAGAGTGGGAGACCAAGGTTTGAGACCGACACCGACAGCAAGAGCAAGGAATGCCACCAGGCAAGGACAAACAATTTAGTAAAAATATGTTTTGCTTATATGGTTATTTACACATTCATTGTCATTGATATATTAACCTACTAGGGGGCACTGTTGGGACAGTCTGAAGGCTAGAAGGCATAGTAGGGACATTCTGAAGACATTGTATGGGACTGATAACGCCTAATAACGTCCATTTCATGGACATTCTCAGATACAACAGAGTCTACTGGTCCTAAACTGGACAGTCTCAGATACAACAGATTCCAGAGGTCCTAAACCGAACAGTCTCAGTTACAACGGTCTACAGTCCTTACACTGCGCATTCTCAGATATAGAGTCCACTGGTCCTGAGCCGGATATTCTCAGATATTTCATGGTCCTCTGGTCCTGAGTCGTACAATCTCAGATACATCATAGTCCACTGGTCCTGAGCCGGATAATATCAGAAACATCAGAGTGCACTGGTACTGAACTGGACAGTCTCAGGTACATAAGAGTCCTCTAGTCCTAAACAGGACAGTGTCATATACAAGAGGATAAAGGTCCTGAACTGCACATTCTCAAATACTGTACAAGAGTCCACTGGACCTAAGCTGGACAGTCTCAGATACATCAGAGTTCCCTGGTCCTTCACTGGACAGTCTGACAAGAGTCCATTGGTCCTGAATCGGAGAGTCTCAAATAAAAAAGAGACCAATGGTCCTACACAAAACAGTCTCAGATACAWTAGAGTCCACTTGTCCTGAGCCGGACAGTCTCAGATTCTTCAGAGTCGTCTGGTCCTGAGCCGGATATTCTCAGATACTTAATTGTCCTCTGGTCCTGAGTCGTACAATCTCAGATACATCAGATTCCACTGGTCCTGAGCCGGATAATCTCAGAAACATCGGAGTTCTCTGGTCCTTAACTGGACAGTCTGACAAGAGTCCATTGGTCCTGAATCAGTGAGTCTCGAATACAAAAGAGACCACTGGTCCTAAACCGAACAGTCTCAGAAACAACAGAGTCCACTGGTCCTGAGCCAGACAGTCTCAGATTCTTCAGAATCCTCTGGTCCTGAGCCGGATATTCTCAGATACTTGAGAGTCCTCTGGTACTGAGCCGGATAATCTCAGATATGTCACGGTTCTCTGGTCCTGAGACATACAATTTCAGAGACGTCAGAGTCCACTGGTCCTGAGCTGGATAATCTCAGACACTTCGGAGTCCACTGGGCCTGAGCCGGATAATCTCAGAAACAGCAGAGTTCACTGGTCCTGAACTGGACAGTCTCAYAGACATCAGAGTTCTCTGGTCCTAAACCGGACAGTCTCACAAGAGTCCACTGGTCCTAAACTGGAGAGTCTCAAATACAAAAGAGACCACTCGTCCTAAACCAGACATTCTCAGATAAAACAGAGTCTACTGGTCCTAAACCGGACAGTCTCAGATACGACAGTCTACAGTTCTTAAACTGCACATTCTCAGATAAAACGGAGTCCGCTGGTCCTGAGCCGGACAGTCTGAGATTGTTGAGTCCTCTTGTTCTGAGCCAGATATTCTCAGATACTTCATGGTCCTCTGGTCCTGAGTCATACAATCTCAGATACATCAGAGTCCCCTGGTCCTGAGCCGGATAYTCTCAGAAACATCAGAGTGCACTGGTCCTGAACTGGAAAGTCTCAGATACATCAGAGTCTTCTGGTCCTAAACAGTAAAGTCTCACAAGAGTCCACTAGTCCTAAACCGGAAAGTCTCAAACACAAAAGAGTCCAGTGGTCCTAAACCAGACATTGTCAGATACAACAGAGTCCACTAGTCCTGAACTGGACAGTCTCAGATACATCAGAGTCCTCTGCTACTAAACCGTACAGTCTCACAAGACTCCACTGGTCCTAAACCAGAGTCTCAACTACAAAAGAGACCAATGGTCTTAAACCAGACATTCTCAGATACAACAGTGTCTACTGGTCCTAAACGGACAGTCTCAGATACAACAGATTCCAGAGGTCCTAAACCGAACAGTCTCAGATACAACAGTCTACAGTTTTTAAACTGCACATTCTCAGATATAACAGAGTCCACTGGTCCTTAGCCAGATATTCTCAGATATTTCATGGTCCTCTGGTTCTGTGTCGTACAATCTCAGATACATCAGAGTCCACTGGTCCTGAGCCGGAGAGTCTCAAATACAAAAGAGACCACGGGTCCTAAACCTGACATTCTTGGATACATCAGAGTTCTCTGGTCCTAAACCAGACATTATCACAAGAGTCCACTGGTCCTAAACCGGAGAGTCTTGTGGTATATTTTGTGTACTGTCTCTTTAAGAKGGGAGCGTGTTTTAGCGCGGGCACGCGCCCCTTTGTTGAGAGCCTCAGTGAAACATCTAGCTGTGTGGACGGTCTTTCGTGTCTCTCGTAAATAAACATGTCTAGAAGCTGAAGAAATCGCCTTTTCGTCATTCAAATGTTAGCCTAGAGTTTTATTGACATTTGACAAGTCTTCAGGAGGAAGCTCACTGATTTTCCAGCGAACCAGCAGAAGCAGCAGCCAGCC